ATGAAATGAATGCATTCACTCACACACCTCCCGTTCAAACAAAATGGAAAGTTAACAAGGAAGCTCCCATCAATACTGGAAAGAACATGTAGGGACATTATTATTAATAAAATAAAATAAATATATTAATAATTATAATAAATATCATAAATAAATCAAAATTTCCTAGCATGCAACAAAAACCTTTCTCTATGAAACAGACTCTTTGTATATATGTCTATATTTCTGAGATGAGGTATTATGTACACTATTTACATTATTCGGACTATTGTCCTCATCTTTGTTGCCATATTTATTACAACGTTTCGGCTTTTCAGTATTTGTCTATATTTCTGAGATGAGGTATTATGTACACTATTTACATTATTCGGACTATTGTCCTCAGCTTTGTTCCCATATTTATTACAACGTTTCGGCCCTTCAGTATCTGTCTATATTTCTGAGATGAGTTATTATGTACACTATTTACATTATTCGGACTATTGTCCTCATCTTTGTTGCCATATTTATTACAACGTTTCGGCCCTTCAGTATCTGTCTATATTTCTGAGATGAGTTATTATGTACACTATTTACATTATTTGGACTATTGTCCTCATCTTTGTCACCATATTTATTACAACATTTCGGCCATTGTACGCTTTAGCCTTCTTCAGTATTTGTCTATATTTCTACTGAAGAAGGCCGGAATGTACGACGGCCGAAACGTTGTAATAAATATGGCAACAAAGATGAGGACAATAGTCTGAATAAGATAAATAGTAGACTCTTTGTGCTTAAAACATACCCATATTATTTTCTTTTGAAAACAAACTTAAAAAAGACAAGATGACTGTTTCATTTCCTCTCATGGTATTTTGCTGTCATACAATGAATTGGCTTACTTCTTTTTTTTATCACGTAAAAACTTTATCACACCATAGCTAAATACACACACCAGTATAATAAAATAAATCTGTAGTGAGTCCCGATAAAAAAAAAAACAATATATAAATAAAATATATAAGCAAAATTAAAAATAATTAAAATTAAAATAAAGCATTTGTACTTTCCTTTAAAAACCTCATCTCTTTCTTTTTATACTCTCTCTAAACTTCTCTTTCTATATTTCTTTAAACTAACAAGAAGGCAACCCTCAAATAAAAGAGGAAGAAGAAGAAGAAAAGACTGAACCTGGAGGAAAAATGCTGGAAGTTTGCAGAAGCAGAGCCTACTTATTTGTGACTGAACAATATCAAAATCAGGGAGGCTCCATGCAGAACTTCCATTATAAAAAAAAAAAACGAATGCTAGAAAATAAAATAATTTTGGCCAATCAAAAAAATTGACATAAAGAGACTTTTGATGTTAACCAGAACCAATGTTCATGCCAGAGTCTTTGAGCCTGGCCAAAACATATATAAGTTGACACCTCTTAGCTAGAAAGTGGAGACAGCAAGAGGACAAACAGAAACGCTTCTCTGGAGAAACCAGTCATGCATGATATGTGAAGAAGTAGTTAAGAGCTCATCTAATAATATTTCTGCCCTGCTTAGGGCTGAGAAAAACACAGTAGATTGGCATTGAATTATTTCTAAGATTACTACTACCCCTACCAAGTGCTGAGTTCCAAATTCTCAAATACCCATGCCACAATGGATCAATGGATATTTCTCCAGACTGCTACCAATTTCCATCTTATAAACAAGTATTTTGTTACACTGAATAATACCAAGGGACTGATTCATCACTCTAAAGAAAATAAATAAAATGCATTATTTATTTTATACCATTGAGTCAGTTCATTTTATGTCCTATGTTTTCAATAAACATCACCAAGAATATCTACCAACACTATATCCACACTGTTGATTCTGAGATCTATCTTTTCTTAAATATACAACTTGTAAAGCTGGCATTTTTTGGTGGGGATACTTTACACACAAGACATGTCCAAATTCATTTTTGGTCAGGAGATAAACCATATTCTCTCATATTACAAAATCCTCTGGTATTCAGCGTAGCAAAAAGTTCATTAATAAGGCGGATATTGATAGCAGTCTGGAGAAATGTCTGTGGTTGTTTTGAAGTAAGACCATGATAAGGGTAGTAGTATGTGAGAAATTAGATCAGTGTCAATCTACTGTGTTTTTTCTCGACCCTGAACAGAGCAAAAATGTCAGTAGTAGATGACCTCTTAGCTACTTCTTTATACATCATGCCCTGAGGGTGATAGAAAAAAGGGCCTCTTTACTTAGTAACATTGTGAATGCACCAACAATGGCTACTTTCAAGAAGAAACTGAGAATCCTGCTCAGATGAGCTGAAGGACTATCGACTAACTCTAATTCATTTACTTTCTTTAAATTACATTGAATACAAATATGCTTCATCAATTGATTTCCTCTTTGTCTCTATCAAAAGAGAGAAGCCTACTCTCCTCCTGAAAATCCTAGGTCCATGTACAATCTTCCCACTTACCTCTTCTGTCCTAATCGAAACAAATTCCATGTGATCTGAGTGAAAGCAATTTGAACTTCATTTAATTCAATCAGTAAATGTTCCAAAAAAGCGTATTAAAACTATCTCACTTGTTGGCTGTTATAGCACGTGGGAGCTTCCTTACTTTGCATGATTCAGCAGCAGTGGGAATAATCAGTAGGGTACAACTGGAAGTCTTTGAGGTTATAAAAACCTTGACCGAGCCATATTCAGCCTCTTTTTTATTCAATTTCAGCTGTCCCTCCATCCATGGCCAGCAGTCTCTCTCTCTCTTTTTCACCTTCCATTTCAGCGGCTTCTATCTCAGTCAGCTCTCTTTTCCATTTCTCACTTTCAGCTGTCTCTCCCTTCACGACTCCTACTAAAGGGCTACATACAACCCTTGCTGCAGAAGACAAAGTCTGTCTTGGCAGCTTGACATTAGATTTCTCATTCCTCTCAAAACACCTAGCAAAGAAAACTACACACAACCCTTGCTGCAAAAGATTAGGCCTGTCCTTGTAGTTTCACACTTTCATTTCTCATTCTTCTCAGGGGATTAATGGAGGAATCTCTCTCAACAAAAATAATTACTACATTCAAGAACATTAACTGGGAAAACTCCCCCTTCTTCCTCAGCAAATTACTTCTACTTTGCACTCCTTTTTCAACCAGAAATAAAAGCTGTTGAACAGTTATTTTCAAACCTTGGATTTTTTGTTCATTCCACTCACACTGCTGAGCACAAGCACACATGCGACTTGAGAAGATCCCAAGAAGCAATTAATAGATTTATTCATTTTCTTTATTCATATTTATTCTTGTCAAATGATTAGTATCAAACAAGTAACATTTCAGATCTGTTAATGTGTTAGTTTCTGCTTCACCTCCCATGTGTGGGATTCAGCGTACCCAGATTAAAGGAGAATTTAATACGGGATACCCTGCCCACAAAATACAACGCAAATTTCAAGAAGAAACAACACGATAAGGAACGTTTATAAAAAAATAGAACATTGTATATTTATTATCTTGTGAATAGGGTAAAAAGGATTAATGCTTTAGTTCGTTTAAGCAAAAATGTGATTTTGATAAAAATGTCTGTGTTCGTTGTCTTTTAACAGAGTAGCAGAATAATGTCTGTTTCTTTTGTTTTTGTATAGTTGTAAAATGAAAAAGGGACGAGCAATTTAAGTTGAAAAAAAGAGTATGAACGTGGAATAAAGATAAAAGGAAAATGTACTTATGAATTGTTTTGAAGCCAGTTGTAAATTTGTTGTTGTTGTTGTTGTTGTTCCTTCCTACTCCACTTTTCGGGTTGAGTCAGTGATGGAATTTACTGTCAATCTTCTGTGATCTTTTGCGCCCTTCTCTGACTAACTGACTGACTTGAAAACTCTGTATTTATTGTTGACTTTTTTTCACACTGGCTTGTTATCTTTTTTTTGGTTTAGCAAATCGCCTCCTTTCATTGGTCAGAAAATTAATTTCACACCTTATTGTGAAATCTGTTTTTGGTCGTTTTGATCCGATTTTGCGGGTGTGCAAATCTACTTTGTGTTTTTTTAGTCATTTGTTGGAATATAGGATTTGTATCCTATACATGAAACACAGTAAAACCTGTTGCACATAAATTGAGGGTATCCTGTATGATTGACCTCATTAACCATGCCTCCTAATTAAATATAAAAACATAGCATTAGTCTGGTTTTCCATTTCTACTAAGTTATAGGAAATTATGTAATTTCCCTGTCAAAGAAGGGTTGAGAAAAATCCAGTTTGATTTGTTACAGTCACTTATGTGCAAATACCATTGGAAAAGGTATGAATCCATCTCCTCCCGGTTATGGGTTAAATAGTAGGCCTTGAATCTGGAAAATATAATTGTTATTCTCAAAAAATTGATGATTCAATCTCTCTCTTTCAAAGAGAAAAAAATCATTCTTACAAGCCAAAATATATTTCGACTAAGTAACCTATAAGGGGTTGATAAGCCGTAAAAACCAATCAATCAACCAATTTTCATTGGGGGTGGTAAAAATCAACAAAATCATCATTGGAAAGAAAAAGGTCCCCGCACCTTCAATTAAACGAAATTACCCCAAAATTTGATTTTATCTTCGTTCGACTTCTATTGGGTTATACACGTGCATACGGGCACATCATTGAATATCTTAAATAAAAACTGTTTGAAGACGACTTCATAAACAGCATGTTTTCCTAGCTCAAACTAAAGACGCTTTTTTATAGTTTAAATTTTTTAAAGCAGAAAATGGAATGAAGGTTTTTAAATTAAAATTTAAAAACATTCATTTTTTGTTGATTCATTTTAATTTCCCCTTTTTAAAACGATCTGTTCTTAATCTCTTTAATTAAAAAAAATCGGGGTCTTTAAAACTAAATCTAATACAAATTTCATAAAAATCGATTCGATTGCGGGGAGTGGAAACGAATGACAATATTTGCAGCTTCAAGTCCAAAACACGGACTGCTCCCTGCCACGGTGCGTCAATTCGAACTCACATTTACATTTCGGTGTCATGGCGGCCAAGTTCTCAAGTCGAAAGTTGGATTGCAAAGATTTATACGGTTATCTTCGGACATTGCCTCCAAATATCCTTGATAAATTGTATAATCACCCAGCAACATGTCTCGCTGTCTTCAGGTACAAAAAAATAGTGATTATTTATATGGAAGATATTTTTCTGTTTCATTTTCAGGTTTTTTTTTATCTCGCTTAAGTTAACACTAACACGTTTTGTTTATCCAGGAAAAAATAGCGTCAAATTATTAATAATTTTAATTTAATTTAGAATTTATTATTTAATCCTTTTAAATTTTACCCCTCTTTTGAGGTTTAATCTTTCTTTTCAGATAGATTATATTCTTCAACTTGATTTTTTATCGTTTCGCCGATCATTTGAAAACATTTTTAAGAACCGGCCTTGTTTGTTTATTTAAATTTAATTTACAAAATTCTATTTTTTTCTATAAAGTTTGTCTGCCTTCATTTGTAAGTTTGAAATTATTTTTTTACAAATCGTATTATAAAAATTTAAATTTAATATTTGTCATTTTCACGTTTTTCGCATCAAGAAAATGTCTGATTAAAAAAAACATGAAGTTTCTGTTTTAGACTACTACTCGATTTTCTCTCACTGGATTTGATAAAAGTTGCTTCGTACGTTCCTTTCAACCCTAAATAACACACACACATACACACACGAGGTACTGAAAAGTCCCCAGCTCGATTCACTTCCAAATATCTGACCAAAAATCAGAATTTTATTTCTTCATACTTGTTATGTTTAGAACTTTTCCGGTGACCCCTCTCGTGTATGATAAAAAAATAGATTTTATTTTTAAGATATGGATATTAAAAGTGCTCAATATCAGGGATATAGAGCGGATACTGAGGTCAACACCGAGTAGCGACAGTCTGTTTCACGCAGAAAAAAATGTCACCACTTCGCGTTGACCTGTGTCCACTCTTTATTTAATATATATAATTTAATTATTGACATTATACACACACACACACAGCGTGGTCCAAAAGTATTGTCACCCATACATAATTTTCTATTTCAGATGGCTGACATGAGCTTCTACTGTTTGGAAGAGAGGGTTAGGGTGACACACACACACACACACACACACACACACACACACACACACATATATATAATCTGCGGACCCTCTGTGTTGGCTGTAACTAAGGCAGTATATTTGTCTATATTTCTGAGATGAGGTGTTATGTACACTATTTACATTGTTCGGGCTATTGTCCTCATCTTTGTTGCCCTCTATATCACAACATTTACGGCCTTCTTCTTGAGTCAGGTGGTTGGAATGTTGAACTGAACTCTTTGTTTCATTCACTGTTCTTGTGCCATGTCTAATGGATGTCAGTTATCAGTTATCTCCTGTTAATTCCCCTCTCCAAGTTCTCCACTGCCTTAACAAGTATGTTACAAATAGTGTCTGGTAGGTCTCCATGAATATTTAAATGAGATCTAATTGAGCTATGGTCAGAAAGGTGTAGAGTGAGTCTGCATGTCAAACATGTTGTAATGTGGCCTATATATTGACAACACTAATATAATAGCATCATCTACATGCAGAAAAAGGCTAAAAATAATGGAAGCCTTATTAATAAAAACAAGAAAACCAAAATTTAATAATATTAGCTATGAACACGGACACAATGTCTTGACCGTGTTTTGAAAAATGAAAAGATTTAATAAAACATACATGCAACAAACTATTTCTTCTTTAACAGTTAAAATATTTAATCCTTGAAAATGGCTAAATGTACAGCCGAAAGTGTTCGGATAAAAAGAACATTTGGACAGTTTTTATATAATCTATCATCTGAAAAGAAAAAATTATTAGATCGCATGAGAAATTGTATAAAAAAACTAAATAAAATCACCTTGTTAGCCAGATTCAATGAAATGTGCATATATATATATATATATATATATATATATATATATGAGATAACGATATATATTTTTATCTGTCAAGAACAATATTGTTTAAAGCTTGGTGTCCACCAGAAATTGGCCAAGAAAAACAACCCCATCAATTTCTGTTCTCATCATAACAGAATAAAATCCAGCATAATCATCGGATTCTACTTGAGAGCACTCAGAATAAGCAGCCTGCATTACATGAAGAAGAGAAATCCATTGAAAACATTTTCAAGCTTCTCTGGTACCCTAATTATCTTATATTTAGTGCAAAACAAAAATCCCATAAGATATTCCATAACAGAAAAAAGTGCCTCCTGATAAATCCAATGAATCAAAAAAAGATATATTATCCTACCAACTATATCATATCTACAGCTAAAAAGAATCTATCTAAACTCAACATTTGTTACTACTACATCCAAAACATTTAATCAATACTAAACAAAATAAGCTAAAACCTAAAGGAGGAATTTACTCCATTGCCAGTAATTGTCACAAAAAATACATAAGTGTAACCTCAAGGAATCTATATAAAAGATTATATGAATGCAAGAGGGACATTTTACAAAATAATATGTCAAATGTGTTTGTTGCCCACCATAATGAGACTGACCACAATTTTGGCATGAAAAGTGCTACTCTGAATAAAGGAGAAAGTAATTCACTATAATGTAAATGTCTAGAGAGTGCCTTGATTGCAAGGTCATCTACAGTAAATTTGTACCCTGACTCTTACAGCATTTCACCATACCCGACAGATCTTTTAATATTAATCTTCAGTGTGGGATATCTACTTACAAAACTGATAAAAACACTAAATGAATTTGGCTAGATATATAAAATAAAAAAAAATTATAGAATTCCCAGCATCCCTCATTCATGTGCATATTTAGTCATACCAACATAACAAATTTAGTCTGAGGAAGTCTTGAAGGACGAAACATGTCACAAGTATACATTTTCTCTCTCTCTCTCTATCTATATCTATATCTATATATATATATATATATATATATATATATATAGAGAGAGAGAGATGGATTGGAGTTTCTTATTTTGATAACCTGGAATTTGATTATAATCACAGCTTTTAAGCAAATAATTTGTAAGTATTTACGTTGTTCAAACTGTTGTCCTCATCTTCATTACTATATTCATGATGTTTTGGCCATTGTACACTCCAGCCTTCTTCAGGTGACTGGAATTTTGAACTGAACCCTTTATTTCGTCCACTGGGGTAGATTGTTCTAGTTCTACATGCCATGCCTCTTCTGGATATCTCCGTATCAGTTATCTCCCTTTAACTCAAACTAATAGACAATTTGTAATTCATTTAAAAAATTTTCAAACTATGATAATATTATCTTTTTGTATTTGAAACATGGCTATCGTATTTCTGAGTTTAGATATTGTAATTGTTTACACTATATACATTCTTTGGACTGTTGTCCTCATCTTTGTTGTCATATTCAAAATCAATCATTGTACGTTTTGGCTTTCTTCAGGATCTGTCTGTATTGTAACTATTTACATTGTTTGGACTGTTGTCTTCGTCTTTGTCATATTCATGACATTTCGGCATTGTATTCTCCAGCCTTCTTCAGGTGATTGAAATTTCAGACCGAACCCATTATTTCATCCACCAGGGTAGATTGTTCTAGTTCCACATGCCATGCCTCTTCCAGGTATCTGTTTTCAGTTATTTCCCTTTAGTAACTCAACTCTCCCAAGTTTTTGTTCACCTCTTCTGTGGCCAGGTATTAAACTCACAACTCTTTGGGTCAAGTCACTGGATTACTCTAACCAGTGAATAAAAGAAATGAAAAATTGGAAGAGTTATGGCATGTAGATCTAGAACAATCTACCCTGGTGGATGAAATAAAGGGTTCAGTTCGAAATTCCAATCACCTGATGAAGAGCAAAGCCTACAGTGGCTGAAACGTTGTGAATGACAACAATGTAAATAGTGTAAATAATGGTTCTTTTATTCAGAAGTATAGATCACTATAACTTGTAACTAAAACCCATTAAGTGATTAGCACTGCAGCATTGTTTAGATACTAATTCTCTTTTAACTGATTTTTTAAGTAAATGACTAAATGACCTTTGTATATTTGTTGTTATTACAATGTTTCGGTTGTTATGCTCTCCAGCCTTCTTCAGGTGTCTATTGATCTGGATAATTTTCAGGAAATTTTAAACATAATTTATTAATCTATGATGAATTTAGCATAAAAGATAAGGAAATTGATCATAGAATAAGCTTTGTTAGGGATAGTTTCACACAATACTGCTAGATGCTACAAAACCAAAAACCTTCTCAAGAACTTGAGTCATATTCTTAAATAGCCTTGTCAGATCTAGATTTTCATATGAATTCATGCAGAGTGCCAAATTCATTCAGAAATATCTAAACTGTCAGCTGTATTAAACCGCTTTCTCGGATTAGTGATTAAAAATGGCTTTGAACGAATGAACTGTGTTGGTCTTAGTGAGGACCATTGTACTTCAAACCTTGTGAACTGGTACTACAGATTCATTTGATGTCCACCAACAGCAGCAATAACTAAAATGGATATTACATGTAACTTGAAGAGAAAATAATCGCATAGTGAAAAATGTTGATAGAATAAAAGTAGTAATAAGATAATAGTAATAATGAAGAGTGTATAGAGCCAGAGTGTTGAGATAAAAAACCAACATTAATAAGATGGAATAAAACTAGTAATAAAATAATAGTAATAGTGAAGAGTGTATAGAGCCAGATTGTTTGGATAAAAAGCAACAATAATGAAGTGTGTATTGAGCCAGAGTGTTGGGATAAAAAGCAACAATAATAAGATGGAATAAAACTAGTAATAAAATAATAGAAGTTAAAATGCTTCATGTAAAATTATCTAAGCACTTTATTCTAAATGAAAATTGTCAAGTACATTGTGAAAAGTCTGCATTTTATTTTAATTTCTCTTGTTATTTCAGGGAACTTCCAGAATTAGCCAAACATTGTGTGATGAGAATTCTATTCGTAGAGCAAGCTGTCCCACAAGCTGTGGTTGCACACTGGGTGTCCAGCAAATATCACGAGTAAGTAAAAGTGGGATTTTAAATGTTTACAAATGGAAGTATCTAGATCAATAAGTCTGTAACCTGATGATGGAAGATGAATTTATTTTATACAACAAATATTTTCCAATATAATCTTTTTCCTTGACAATGCAATTGTTCTAATAGGCATTATTCCATGAAAATTTTACATCAAACAAAATTCATGTCCTAGTTCAGATTCTTCATCATTAGGTAGGACTTCATTTCAGCACACCCTTTTTATATATATATATATATATATATATATTAATTAAGAAACAGACAACTTTAAGTGTCCATAGGATGATAATTTACACACACATTCATTATACATACACACACACACACACACATATATATATATATATATATGTGTGTGTGTGTATAATGAAGTTATTTGGTAATCTGTGTGGATAATTCCAAGGAGAATGTAATCCAGAGAGCTCAATGTAAAAAAACAGAGCAAATATTAATTATATTAAGAAACAGACAACTTTAAGGTTTCATGGGATTATAATTATTTTCATGTGTGCATAAATTAAAAATAATATATAAGTTTTCAGGTCTGGAAAAATTAATCAGCAATATTTTTGTATGAAAATGGAGATCTGATGAATTAGGACCAAAATCCTGGTTCCTAAGGAGATAAATTATCATCCCATGGACACTTAAAGTTGTCTGTTTCTTAATATAATTAATATATATATATATATATATATATATATACACACACACATATATATCATATATGTCCTAGTTAATCATAATCATGACCTGTTCATTCAATACAATATACTCAATCACCACAAGAACTTGTCCATCACCTCTGAATCCTACATGTACCACAATACCGCAAATTTATAAAACACCCCATGATGTAAGAATTTGTGCAGGCCATAATGTTTTGTTTTTTTTTCTATAAAAATATGTAAAAAATTTCATGATGTATAAAATGGTTGGGGAGGGAATGAACCCAGAAAACGAAATTAAAAATACAACAAAATATTCAGACGAAAACAATATACTGGGAATGACTGCAAAAAAAGTTTTCCCCCTTCCCCTTTTATGGTAGGAAGTACAAAAAAAAAATGCATGCTGGGACATTTTTCTTAGCCAATAAAATGGGGGATGGCTAGCATTTTGACATAACTCAGTCCAGATCTGCCTTAACTACTAGACAATGCTACTGCGTTTAGTTGTCTGACCTTGCTTTTGTGTACAAATACCAACTCCTATTTTGTGAATTCTTTTGCCTTCTTACCTGTTTGATTTGCTTTAACTATATTGTTTGCTTGCTTGTATGATTGTTGCTGTTTCATCCTGTTTGACCTCTTTTCTTTTCATTGCAAACTTTATTAATTCTGTTTGTGTTATATATCTTGCATTTTGACAATGGCTTTATAACTCATTATAAAACTATGGAAAATCTTAAGGAACACTTAAGGACAATTCCTGATTGGAACAAAAAATAAGGCATTCTGGGTAAGACGATAAACTACATCTATGTCCTGGGTAAGACAATAAACTGGGAGCAGGGCCTCTGATCAGGAGGTTTTGAAGAGTGTGGAACTGCCTCTTGGTTGCTAGTTTTCCTGGGTCGGGATGGTGGTGCCTGTTGTGGAGAGGCAAGGTAAATAACCTCAGTTGAGATCTGGCTTAACTACTAGATAGACCCACTGTATTTGCTTGCCCAACTTTGCTTTTGTATACAAACACCAACTCCTATTTTGTGAATTCTTTTGCCTTCCTATCTGTTTGATTTGTTTTAACGATACTGTTTACTTGCTTGTATGATTGTTGCTGTTTCATCCTTTTTTGACCTTTTTTTTTTTCTTTTCATTGCAAACTATTAATTTTGTTCACCTTTTTTATATTGCATTTTGACAATGGCTTCTAGTTCTTCAGTGTGTGAAAGAGAATGAGAAAATTTTAGTAAGAAGTGAGGAAATGACAATAAAGAAACAGGTTTCAGGTAGAAAGAAGATGGCAATTTATGTTGCATTTAAATTTTTGAAGATAGTAGTTATCATGGAAGCAAGAAATTGCATGGCAGTTCCACAGTTGAGAAGTGTAAGAAACGGAACAATTAGAATAGAAGTGGTGATTGTATCTGAAAGTACTTGTATGACTCAGTCCAGATCTGCCTTAACTACTAGACAGATATACTGTGTTTGCTTGGGTGACCTTGCTTTTGTGTACAAACACCAACTCCTATTTTGTGAATTCTTTTGCCTTCTTTCCTGTTTGATTTGCTTTAACGATACTGTTTGCTTGCTTGTATGATTGTTGCTGTTTCATCCTTTTTTGACCTTTTTTTTTCTTTTCATTGTAAACTATTAATTCTGTTCATCTTATTTATTTTGCATTTTGACAATGGCTTCTAACTTATCAAGGGAAAAGTCACTCAGACTATAGAAAACACAGCACCTGCTCTTGAGGTATTGTAGATTGTGGTTGTTAATTGACAATATCTCCCCATTATTTTTTCACTAGAATTTGAATGAAAAAAAAGTATGTGTTTACTGAATTTATTTAATGAATTCATTTTAAAATACAATGGGGGGGGGCTCGTACAGTGGATATAAGCTGAAACCTACATTTTAACCTGAAAATTTGGGGGTCATCTTTTGTGCCAGCATATATTGTGTGTGTGTCTGTGTGTATATATATATATATATATATATATATATATATATATATATATATATGTGTGTGTAGTAATGTGATTGTTACTGGTTGTGGTTATATGGGTATAACAAATGGGCTTGTAACATGGTGTTCTTTCCTAAAGTCCAAGTCATAGTGTAAATCTTGCCCAGAACTGGAGGCCTATCTCAAATTTCACCATTTCACTGGGAGCAAAAATTTTAATTTTGGTAGTTTATTTAATTGAAATAACTATAAGTTTTATTTATTTTGTTTCTTTCAGATATGTTATATTCTTTTATGTTTTCACAGCAAAAACAAAGTTTTTTTTGTGTGTGTGAAATTCGCTAACAAATGTAATTTAGGAAACTGTCTTGTTACTTGGAAGTTTATTTAATATTATTCTTTACTGTTAAATTTTTATTCACAAAAATAAATCCACTAATGATCAACTTTTATTTATTTTTATGTCTTCCATTTTTCTGTTTTTAAAAAATGAAAAATGCATGTTGAATTTTTATCACACTTCTTATCTGGAAATATAAAATTTTAATTTCCCTTTATTTAAAAAATAATAACTTATTAATTCTAGGTTTTCTGGTAGTCTTATTAAAAAAGGTTTTTTAACCTTTTTAATAAGAAAGTCTCTCCAAAAAAGGTTAATTTTAATAATGTTTTGTTTTGTCTCTGTGGAGAAAATTGTGAAAATGGCCTACCTCGGAAACGCCCACGAATCTGTGCATCGTGCAAACTCTGGCTGCTCAACGGTAAAAAAGAACCAAAATGGTGGCACCCATGTTTTATGCCAGGTGGTCTCGGACAGTTAACGCAAAATCTCGTCTCGTTATTCACATGCAAATTATGGTCGGTCATCGGCTGTATAAAGCAGGCTTGTTTTTGTTTCTGGGCACTTGGTTTTTTTTTTTTTTTTTTTTTTTTTTTGCTTGTGAGAAGGTTGGACGTGTGACACTATTTTGTCGTTTACCCTCCTCGCTTTTTCTATCTACTACTATCAGTTGAGTCGTTGCTTTACTACAACAGTCTCATTTTCAACAAACTTTTATTCTGAAAACTTTTTTCTTTGATTCTGTTTGTACTCTGAAATTTATTTGAAAATACTGCTATTTGTTACTTAAAGTTAACTTAATATTTTTTCTATCATATTGTTATTAATAATAACAAATATATTGATGATAAAATTTTTTTTAAGTAATTTGTGTGAAAAAAAAAAAGTTGAATTTTAGTTTAATTTATAATTAAAAACTTAAAATAGGAGCAAGCATAATATTTTATACAACAAAATTAATGAAAAGTCAGTAAGGTTATTGTGCTCTTTGTATCTGTTGTAGTTTTTATGGGAATAAATAGGAAGGATTACTTTCAAAATGTCCCTGAACACAATCTACATATATCCATTTACATTCATCTCCAGGACCCAAAAGAGTCATCATGTCCTGAGGGAGAAGTGCAGCAGGCCTAAAGCAAGCCCATTGCCAGGGTATTACCAATGGAGTGGACATGAACTTCCCAACCAAGGGCTCATAGATGTGCTCCCAATTATAAGATTAGCAGATTCCTTTATGTACAGAGCTCCACTGACACTTTGTTCATCTGTGGAACTCTGGTATTTTTTTTACACTACAGTAAGGTTCACCCTGTATAAGGCCCAGGGGCTACATGAAATAGAGGGTCACCTGTTTAAGACCCTTGATCTACATATGAGGGTAGACCAATAAGTTTGTATCTTGACACATGTATATACACACATATGCAGTTTAATATTTGTATTCATCTCCAGAAAAGATCGCATTTTCACCTGTTGAAACATTACATTGAGAATGGTAGATGTGGCAGTAGTGATTCTTCTCCATGATTCCTGGTTTTCACACAAAACAGAAATATTTCTTGAAATAATTCCATTTTCTTATTTTTCAGAGAACATAAGCTAGCTATGGCAGCCCTTACAGATCTGAGGGTGTGGCATGAGCAACCACTACCTGGAGGGATGTTAGGATTCATTTTGAACCAGACATTTCGTTCCAATATGAAGATTGCATTGCTCGGAGGGTAAGTAGCTGCAGAAATTATTTCTATTTATTTATATATATATATATATATATATATATATATAAGGTTATCGTGTCATAATGTCTTACATTTTTTATAATTCTTCAGGACAGATAAATTTCCCTCTCTCTGACTGAAACTCCTCTTTTCTCTTCTCCCCCAGTTATGGGTTTATTAGTAAGACTTGTATCACCATTATTACCTCAAAAAATTCTTAGAATTGAAAAATATTTTCTGGCTTTAAATAACCTGTAAAAGGTTGCTAAATTTTACTCACCTGTGGAGCATGGAGCCATAGCCTCATCAATCTATGGGTTGCTACTGGAATTTCTATATCAAGTAAGTTTTTATGGCGTTGTGGAGTAGATAACGTTTATATAATTTTATTCTGTATTATCATGTCATATAGTCATGTTTTTTGTTATTCTTTATAAAAGTTGATAATGCAGGAAAAAACTTATATAGTTATCTGTCTTTTTGAAATAAAAAAATATATATTGATAATACAATAGAGAATAAAACTTATACAGTTATCTGCCTTTTGAAATATTATATATTTACATGATAATATAATGAAGAATAAAGTTTGCATAGTTATAGGCCTTTTTGAAATATTAAAAAATATATATTGATATGATAATATAATACAGAAGAAAGCTTATATAGTTGACTGCCTTTTATAAATATTAAAAAAAATATATATTGTCATGATAATGTGATGGAGAATAAAATTTATATAGTTATCTGCCTTTTTGAAATATAAAAAATATATATTGACATGATAAGAATAAAACTTATATAGTTATGTCTTTTTGAAATATAAAAAATCTTACAAGTTGATATGATAATACAGAATAAAACTATATAATCATGTCAATATATAATCATAATTTTTTTTTTTAATTCTCCAAGAAGGAAAATAACTTTAAACATGTGTCCTGCTCAATTTCTATCTGATTATCCTTTTTGTAGAGGTGAACCATGGACAGGTGGTGGGCCATTACCCCCAGATAAACATGCCAAAGATGCTCAATTTCTGGATAATTATGCACAAGAACGGTGGGAGGTAAGTCAAAATTAGTTTGGAGATAGGCGGTAATTATTTACTAAATTTATGAATAAACATTGTGGCATTAATGATTAAAAAATGAATGGGTTGGGTTTTGATTATCAGTGCTAGATGATGAAAAGATATTTTTTTTAATTAATCACAGTTGACTTGAAGGAAATTAAAAAAAACTGAATTTATGAGCCTCCTAAGTGTTATAAAAAGGTTTTTCATTAGTCAACACATAAATACCAACTCAAATTTACATTGTGACTCAAGAATACTACTCAGTATCAGTGACAGCCCTAGCTGAACTTCAGCTCCCTTACAAATATAATTTTTTAAAAATTTCCACAAGAAAAAAAATGAAAATGTAGAATAACGAGTTTATTACAGTATACAACTTAATACAAGCTAAAGAAAACATTCATTATCCTATCTTAAACATTTTTCTATCTTTGAGATCTGCAAATCTTTTCATGGCACTTTCTATGCATATCTTCTTTACAAGATCATTTTCTATTGACAAAATAGCCAAAGAATTTACTTTGTCTTGAGTCATGGACGACCGCAAGTATGTTTTTATAAGCTTTAGTTTTGGAAGATCCCAAACACAAATAAAACTTATATAGTTATCTGCCTCTTTAAAATATAAAATAAATATTTAAAGATATTTTTGTAGGTACAAAATTTAATGATCAAAATAAAAGTATAAAATTTAATATTACAAGACATATTAAAACAATATTAAATAATAAAAAAAACACAACAACAAGGGGGGAAAGAACTGTTTAGCTCCCGCTTTCAGGCTTCCACAGGAGATTCAAAATTAAAACAGAGAAATGTACAATAAGAATAGGTGGAAAAAATATATATATATATATATATATATATATATATATATATATATATATATATATATATATATATGCAAGAAGGAACTAGAGGCGGGTGACAGCGGGTCCCAGCAAACACTCACGTTGTTTGCACAAAAAAAGCTTATGGACCCGGCGTAAAAGCGCCTCCAGAACCTTCAGATGAAATACAGAGTGTGACCGGGCCAACACGGTGAACCAGTCAACACTAAATTTGGCAGCACAATCTCTACTATTTAAAAGATGTTCGTATATATGGCGGAACTGTAGGTGTTCGGGACGAGTCCGTTCAAAAAAAGCAAGGTGTGGTTTCTAATTTTAGTAGGAACGTGCTGCTTTATTCTAATGTCTAAGCGCTGAGTTGTTCTCCCTATGTAGTTGGCTCCGCAACTACAAACATATTTGTAAACAATTGAATTAATATGGTGGGGAGGGAGAACGTCTTTACACGCAGATCGACACATAGGCCGAGTTTGAAAAATAATCCGAACTTCAGCAGAGAAAAAGCAACAGCGAACCTTTGATGAAATTTGTTTGGCTATTTTTTCACATTTGGTACCAATCCAGGGTAATCTAAGGTAAACAGGGCATTTTTTGACAGTGTAGAGATCGGCACTTCTGAACTCTTCAACTTTACTGCGGATAACTGAATTAACAGTATCAAGAAAAAATAAAATAAATATTATATATTAGCTTAAAAACTGCCCTATTGGGCAGCATTTAAGCTAGCTCCTGCAGAGGGCTCTTGATTTTTATCACAATAGGTAAGGAGGAGTAGATGTGTTGCAGGCTGGTTGTACGCATTTGTGAGACAAAAATGTGCATCTCCTGAAATGGCTCTCAATAAACATGGTGGACTTGGAATGAGTCCGCCAAAAGAAATGTGAAGAAACAACTGATAGATATGCACAAATGAATATGTGTTAACAACAAAAGTTACAATTGATAAAGACAATAATATATGTATAACAAATGAATGTGGAAAGTATGTGTTGTGTTGTGAGTGAATGTGTTTATGTATTTGTATGTGATGTTCAATATGTTTCCCATCGTGGGGAAAATGCAATCTTCTGTGAGAGATTTAAATGTTGTCATATTAACAGAAAATTTAAAAGAGAGAGCAAGAGAAGATATTGCTGAGTATATATAGAACTGGAGAGCGCCCCCTAGTAACAGTTTCAGAAATTAAAGAGGAAATAACCCGACAGATGCAATAGGCAACAACAAACTACAGAACTCAAAATTAATCATTTCATTTAAGTATTGTATTAATATTTAAGCTTACCTTTTAAAAGTTCAACAATAATTCTTTTGTATCTGTCTATATTTTTGAGATGAGGTATTATGTACACTATTTACATTATTTGGACTATTGTCCTCATTTTTGTCACCATGTTTATCAAGGATAGTGGATAAAGGTGTTAGTTAGATCCAGTGACAGGAAATAGGAGTTGACATGCCATTAAATCCAACATCCATCCATCCAGTGACAGGACCCAAAGAGTGCGAGTTCAATACTCGGTTAAGGCAGTGGAGAACTTTCAGAGGGGAATTAACAGGAGATATCTGACATCCATTAGACATGGAACTAGAACAGTCTACCCCAGTGAATGAAATAAAGGGTTCAGTTTGATATTCCAACCACCTGAAGAAGGCTGGAGCGTACAATGGCTGAAACGTTGTGATAAACATGACAAAGATGAGAACAGTAGCCCGAATAATGTAAATAGTGTGAATAATTTTTCTGTCGCCACTTAATTTAAAGACAATTTGATGTACATAGGTCCTTACTTTCTGTACAAACAATTATTTTTATTTAATCAGTGGCTTTTGCTGGATTTCACAATTAATTTAATTTTGATTATTCCCAAATTTATTCCCAAGTTATAAAAATTGTTATTGTGCAAAAAAATTTGATTGTTAAAATTATACCTTTAAGTGCCGACTCTATGTGCGTCATCATAGCACTGGTGACGCACCTAGAGTCAGTACTTAAAGGTGTAATTTTGGCAATCAAATTGTTCTTGGTTGACATTTAGTGTCACCCTTTTCGGTCATTTTATTTTGCTGATTTTGGGCATTCTACTTTGTTCTCTATGCTTTTTTTTAAGTTCAGTTTCAGCAATAACAAACTGTTGCATCTAAAAAATATTTTCTGGCTTTAAATAACCTGCAAGAAGTTTATAAACCATAAAAAAATCCTTGCTGTTGGAATATTTTTCTCACTTCATAGAAAATTAAATACAGTTTTCTACATATGTATATTTATACCTTTTAATTTTTTTAAATTTTATTTTGCTTCTTCCCAAGTTGAGGATTAGAGACCATGTTCAATTATTAATTATTATGAATTTGAATTTAGAGCTATCCTTCTCCTAGCTTGGTTACCTACAATGGCTAGAGAGTCCAGTTTGCCCTGCTATTTAACCCATAGCTGGGTGGGAAGAAGAAATGTATTCAGACCTTATCTAAGTGTATTTGTGTGAAAGTGAATTCAATAAACTTGACTTGAATTAGAATCCAGCTCACAGATTTCTCATTCCAAGCTGCTATCCATTATACCATCTGCAGATCTTTCTGTCCAGGATTTATAATGGGGTGGGTGATGTCTGTGGATCCTGAATCCTCTTCCAGCTATTACTTGTAATCTGGTTCATCTGCCCTCATCACAAGGATGAAGTTGTTGTTGGCCACTTGAAGGGTAGTAATCAAGCTGATTATGGAGTTAAAGAGGTTTTGAAATTGGTGATCATTCTCCTATACAGACTGCCAACCGAAGCTAATGAGCTGTCTACTCACTTATACCTTCAGCACCAAGTTTTTTTGGGGTTTTTTTTTTTTGCTGACATGTCTTGACCATAAATAGACCACTGGAGTATCCCAGAAACTAAACAATGTTGATGGAAAGCAGTGTGCAGAGGACAAAATGAGGACAAGGTATCAATTTCAAAAAGGAGACATTAATGTCATTTAGTGCTTAATAGGTAGAGTAAGTAAAACATTAATTAATATTCTTTTGATGCTTAACCTGTTTGAATAATTTCCTGTATGCTTGTCTGGCACAAAGACTCTTTAGGTTTTATAAATCATCAATTTATTCTGCCTTAATCAGGTTGGCTTGACTTTACTGAAATGGCATTTTTGTAAACTTATTTGCTGATGATTGAGCAATATCAACAGTAAGTCTAGCTATTGATGCAAAGTTATGATGCCATTCCTTTCCCAGTCAAGAACTATTCATTCAATCAGTGAGCATATAATTTTAATTGGTATCATCCCAAGCAAGGCAATACAGTCACTAAGATGCAAGAGGGTTACAGGATGGGGAGGAATTAGGAATGCATAGAACTGGAAGGGAGTTCCACAAGCAAGAAGTGTGAGAAAATAAACATGCCATAGAAGTTATGCCCATATCTAGCTAACTGAACTGTAAATTGATGAGATCAATCTAGTCACCAATCTAGTATTGCGCTTAAATTCGCACAATCTAGGTACTATAGCGAAGAGCTCATCTGAACAATTACCATGAAAGTATTTATAAAAAAGATACAGAGGCAACTTTATGGTGGTGGGCAAGTGACTGAAGCTGAGCTGCCAGATCAGGACCAATAATATTGTTGATACTTCTTTGGATCTTATCCAGGAGCTGCAAGTATTGTCTGAGTCACTGAATGTTTCAGTAAGTATCAACAATCTCCTGTTACTAACAAGTCCAAGCAGCCTGGATGTTGATACATTAACAAGACAACTTTCCCTTTAAGATCAGGGCTTTTCTTTATAATGATGTGCTGAAAATGTCTTTGCCTGACCCACTTCCAAAAATCTGACCAACTGAATGATCAAATGTCAGGTTTTAATTTTCCTTATTGGTCAGGCCAAGAACATTTCAATTCTCCTCTGTACATTTAAATTAGCAAACCTAATTAGATAGCACTAATTGTAAGTGGAAGTTTTATAACTGAATAGTAACCATCTCAGTGGTACAGTCCTTTGGATAGATGTAAGTCTAGCAAAAAAAGTCCTAATAGATTTTATTTTATGTGGATGGATTTTTATGCTTCTTTAATTTTGAAGCTTTGTTTTCGGGAGCTTACTGCCACATCATGATGAAACACCAGTTCTCGTAAAATCACTGAAGTTAAGCAACATTGAACCCGGTCAGTACCTATATGGTTGATCGTTTGGGATTACCAGGTGCTGTAAGCTTGGATGTGCAGGTGGTGTAATGGATAATGGCTCAGAATTGTTAATTGGAGAGCCAAGTTTCAATTCCTGTTGCATTCATTATATTCACTTAGGCACACATACCATTAGGGAAACGTATGCATCAACCTCCTCTACCCCCAGTTATGAGTTAATTAGTAACAGTTTTATCACTAAACTATTATCTGAAAAAAAAAAAAAAAATCTTCCATTCTAAAAAATATTTTCTGGCTTTAAATAACGTGCAAATGGTTGATAAGCTGTAGAAAACAAATCAAAGAATGATGTTTTGAAGGTATTTTGAATATATATTAATTTTTAATTATCTTTTTCTTTACTTTTATAGTGTGTACTTTATTATATGGTTGGCTCTTCTGAATGTGTCAGTCGAGATATCAAGGGTGTCTTGCTTCATGCTGGACTTATGAAAGCGTAAGTATCCATTTCTATACAAAAAAATCATTTGGAATGCAATTTCTCTAGTAAAAATCATTGATGATACAAGTTCTATATTAAAATCATTTTCAATGCAGCAATAATAAGATGGAATAAAACTAGTAATAAAATACTGGTAATAATGAAGAGTGTATAGAGCCAGAATGTTGGGATAAAAAGCAACAATAATAAGATGGAATAAAACTAGTAATAAAATAAGGGTAGTAAAATATTTTATCTGAACATTAAAAAAATGTATCAGTAAAAGATAACTTTGTTTTTCTACTTCTGAATTTAGTGAAAGTGAAGAAGCGACTCCAACAATAACTCCTCTTGGATTCCAGTTTTTACTGATGGAAAGTTCTTCACAAGTTTGGTTCTTTATGTTGCAATACCTTGACACATTAACGGTAAGTTTGTCTCTTCAGTTGATTTATTCCAAACCTAAAACATTGTGCACAGTGGAGAGTAGAGAGAAGATCTAAGACAATTCAGAAATATGTTTTCCATAAAACATACAACTGATAATCCATCAACTCGCAGACATTCAAAATTTTCTTGATCAGGGGACAGGTTTATGAAGATATGAAAAATCTATAGTGTTGACTTTGAATACTAAAACTGTACTTAATATTGTCTACAATTTAAATCTAAAATTAAAAAAAAATTTTATTCGGCTTTTAGTTACGACTAAGAATGGCTTTTAGCACTGTGACCATCATTCAAAGTAATTATGAGGAATCATATGTATAATATATTATTTATCTGCTGCCCTACGCAGCAACATGTGGCACAAGGCTGAGTTTTAAAGTTGGGTATCCGAAGCTGTAGGCTCGGGCAAAAATTCCCTATAAACCACATAAAAACAGAGTCAATTTCCCGAGACGAGACTCTGCCCTTCGGCAGAGCCTTGTCTGGGGGATACCCTCTGACATGTGCCAGGCAAGCATACCGCAGCCAGAGTAAATTTATAATATATATAAAATGTGTGGTATTTAGTGGAAAGTGCTCAATATCTGTGATAGAGCTAATATATGCAGCTGCATAGGGAGTTGTTTGTGACCTTAAGTTTCATACTTTCACGATCTTCAGACAAACTGGTATATTTTTTAAAAAGTGGATCTATTTTTGCTTTGTGTTTGATTATTTGTGTGTGTGGTGGGAGGGGGAAATTTTTTTTACTGTGTTTGTTTGGGGTGTCACTCACATATATGTAAGCACACATAGATACAGGTTCGTCCTGGGTAAGATGTTAAACTACATCCACGTCCTGGGTAAGACGTTAAACTACATCCAGCAGCAAGGCCTCTGAACAGAAGGTTTTGAGGAGTGGGGAACCACCTCTTAATTGCTAGTGTTCCCAGGTCCACCCTGACCTGGTGTGGTGGCACCTGTTGGGTCCCAGCTATTGGCAAATAGTTGACTATTACCAGCAATACTTTTTTGAAACAAATTATTACCAGCAATACAATTTTGAAGGAAATATATTACCAGAAACAGATTTTTGACAAAACAAAATATTACCAGCAGTAAAAATTTTTGTCAGCATTAAATAACCCATTGAGGTTGATATGCCATAAAACAAAATAAACCAAACCAATCTAAACCAAAGAATACATACTCTATTCATATGAATCTATCCTAAAAATGTTGTCGGCATTAAATAACCCATTGAGGTTGATATACCATTAAACAAAATAAACCAAACCAAACATAGATGCAGGTGTATACATGTTAATTCATATATACACACCCATATTCATAATCTTGGGTTAGGCACAGTTTCACATTCATACGCTTGAGCACACGTATGTACACAATTTTCATAAAGTATGATGGGTAAATTTTCGCCAGTTTATATTTTTAATTTCACACATGCATGTTGTTTGTTTTTGATTTTTGTTACTGCACAGTATAGTAGGGTCAGTTGGGCACCATCTGAGAAAAAGAGCACCATGATGCAATTCACTCCACCAAAAATTTGTACTGCTTTGCATTTGTGTCAGAAGCTCCAATACAAACATTTCAGAGTGTTAGGATTTGGAAAGAATTGGATGAGTCTAATAGTGATCACGAAAGTACAGCAACTTAGAAAACTCACTCTGATTGTTCTGATAAGAAAAGAACTCCTGAATTTGTTGGTGAGGGCCTCAGACCCAACATAGAGGCCAGCATCAAGTGCCTTTAAGAGGTAGTCAGGGCTGTCAGATAATTTCTGTGACCACATCATCCCTTATATCTGGCCACATAACTCCCCAGGCTGCAACCTCCTTGATTATTATGTGTGGGGTGCAGTTGAGCAAGAGACCAAAAAAACTCCTTGTAACAGCAACGATGAATTGAAGGCAAGGATTATGGCAGCATTCACCAACTTAAACAAGGAGACCATCCAGAAGAGTTGTAGGAGATTCTGAAATCATCTTTAGGCCGTGGTTGAAGCCAATGGCAATTTTATTGAATAAATTTATTCTTTAGTATTTCAAGATATTTTTGTATAATTTTGGTAAATATATTTGTTAAAATGAGATTTTAGTGTTGTTTTTGTGTAATTTAGACGACAATTTATCCATTGTACCCTTTGTGTGTGTGTGTGTGTGTGTGTGTACACACACACCCATATATATGGGCATGTGGCCAAGTGATTAGAATGTTCATTCTTTCTGACTATGAGACCTGGGTTCAAATCTCGCCATGGTCAGTTTGTCAGGAAGGAGACTTCCTGATGTTATCGGAATGGATCGAAGTCGATCCCAGCATGCAACACCTTTGGAAAGTGCCTGAAAACTATACCACAAGTTGACCCATGACTTATGAGCGAAATTGGGTAGATGGAACTCTTGAGGGCACACTTTTCTTTCCCAGAAACTGTAACTAAAGTCTGCTCACAATATTTGCAGTATAAACCATAGGTGGGCTCTGTGGGTATTGAGCAAACACAAATGTGCCTGAGCGAGCGTCTGCAATAGGGATTGGCTAGCCACCCTAGTAGGCAAGTATCCTCGAATATGAGTGGCCAGCTAATATATATATATATATATATATAATGAAATTTCACTTTATACCTCTATGATTCGATGAAAGATGTTCATTTATACACTCTCCCCCTGATATTTTTTATGAAAAGCTCCCACCTTGTACAGACAAACTTCTCATCAATCAACTAATAAGGGGAATGGGTGGTCTGTTAAAGCCGATTGTCCGTAGATGACAAGGGATTACTTTTGAGTTATAAAACCACTGTAGTAACTACCAGTAGTTATGATCGTCATGTAAATGCTATAAATATGTATATATGGCATAAATAAATATATAATTAATATAGATATATTAATCAAAACAACAAAAATAATAGATATCTCCCAACTACTTTCTCAACATATGCACCAATGTATTGTACTTTATATACTGTACACTTGTCTTTGTTTACAGTTGAAAAGCTTCGTCATTGCTGCTAAATGGCCACTTTAAGAACTAATATGACTCGTTCCACTAAGCTTGCATATTTTTAAATACAACACTGATGATTTGGAAGTTTTTTTCTTGAGTTTTTTTTTTTTGCCTGCAGATTTTAAACATTGCATCAGAAGTCAATTTATGGGAGGTTTGTCTGTATTAACAAAAGACATGAAATCTGTGACAATAGACACAAGAACAAATGCATTGCTCTCAAATGTTCATAGTCTTGACGGTGGCATCAGCAGCACCAGAAAATAGCTGCATATGGTTGCACGAGAGAACAAATGAAATAACAAAATAGTGCTGGTAAGGCAGAAAAAGAAAACGAGATAAAATTCTTTGTATTGCTGATATGGAAGATCAAGGTGGAATGTCTCTTTGTGGGTGAGGGAAGCAACCTGGATAATGGAAAGAGTCAGTAGGGCCTGGAGTTTGTGCGTGTATCAGATTGGTTTATGTTGACAGCTAGCCCACTTACCCATGACTGCCAATAGTGTAGTGAGTGGTTTTCTTAAAACCAGATGGGGTGATTCATGATTCAGTGTTTTTAGTCATGCCTTTTACTTTAGTGGTAATTTTCATAATTGTCTCTTTTTATGTTGCATTTTATTTTATTTTTTGAGGGGATTTGTTTAGTGAGATGGATATAATGCCTAGGACCTCTGCACAGAGAGCGACCTTATTTTTGTTGACTTAGTGCTCACATCCAGGTGACAGGTTTTGATGTAGAGTGAATCAAAAAGAGATCTAGTATAACATAGCTTTTTGTGTAAATGTATAATTTTTGTTCATTTGGATAATCTTTTTGTGTTTTTCTTTTTAGACACGAGGAATGGATCTTGTTGAGTCTTTATCATTTCTGTTTCAACTGAGCTTCTCCATATTTGGCAAGGTAAGAACCATTCATTCATACCTGGAAACTAGCCCGAGTCTACATTCTTGGGTGATTAGTTATTATTTTTTAATATTGGGTCAAGACAGTATTAGTCAACATTCAAAATAGTACTAAAATGAGATTAATTAGTCTTTATTAATCTGAGGGAGCATCCATTGCTTTTCAATAGTGTTAAAATATAGCCCAAATCTACATTCAAAATAGTTGCTCCGTTGATAGGGATGAGCATATAGTGACTGCAGTCTTTGTAAAGCAATAAGGCTCCACAAAAGAGGACACTTCCCAGGTGGATACTTGCAGAATCAGGTATAAGCCAGACTTATGTAAACTGCACCTGTGTCTGTCTTCATGACTCTAGTTTAAACTGCACCTGTGTCTGTCTTCATGACTCTAGTTTAAACTGCACCTGTGTCTGTCTTCATGACTCTAGTTTAAACTGCACCTGTGTCTGTCTTCATGACTCTAGTTTAAACTGCACCTGTGTCTGTCTTCATGACTCTAGTTTAAACTGCACCTGTGTCTGTCTTCATGACTCTAGTTTAAACTGCACCTGTGTCTGTCTTCATGACTCTAGTTTAAACTGCACCTGTGTCTGTCTTCATGACTAGTTTAAACTGCACCTGTGTCTGTCTTCATGACTCTAGTTTAAACTGAACCTGTGTCTGTCTTCATGACTCTAATTTAAACTGGATCTATGATTGCTTTCTTGACTATTTTAATCCAAGCCTATATCTACCTCTTTTGATTTTGCTATAAACTGGACTTCTGTCTGTCTATTAATTCATTATGATTTTTGTCTTATAAGAACCATCTTCAACATTGATCAACTTATGTAAGGTTGGTATCTTGTTAAATTAACCAACCTAAGCTAGAATTCCAAATTTCTTGGAAATGAGTGTGGGAATACCAGGTGTTGTAAACTCAGTTGTATGTGTGGTGTAATGGATAATGGCTTGAAATCATTAATCAGAGTCAAGTTCCAATTCCCGTTGGGTTCATTATATTCACTTACACACAAATACCCCTGGAAAATGTATGTATCAACCTCTTCTCCCTCAGCTATGGGTTAATTAGTAACAGTTACATCATTAGATCATTACTATCTCAAAAAAAATTCTTACAATATAAAATATTTCTTGGCTTTAAATAACCTGTAAAAGGTTGGTAAATCATAGAAAATGAATCTCAATCAAGCATAAAAAAATGCACTTTAATCTTGGACATTTACCTCACAGAATCTATTCAAATGATTACGGATATTTTCAGTAAGCGAACAACAAATTTTAATGTTTTAAATTTGACCGAGAATTCATTGAAAGCAGTGCACATTCTAGAAGGCCTTCAATGATGACTGCATATCAATTGCAATGAAAGTCAGTGATTGACAGTGCAAGAATTAGAACTCTCCTGAAAGTATTTAGCTATTTGAATATCTTGATTGTTTATTTTTCATGTTTTCTGCAGGTGCTTTTGTCAAAACATTGCCTTTCTCAGGTCTCTCAGTCCAGATTAGATTTCTCACAAGGCTTTTCCTAAAGCTAAAATCCTCATTGTAAAAGAAGAGAATTCAGCTTGTGGTCAAGATTAAGGATTAAAAAGATGTGGTACCTGATAGCAATAGTGGATTTTGCAAACTGTTTGCAGAAATCAAAGAGACAAGCAAGCTTATAAGAGGAATATTTCTACAGCGACTAAGTCACCATCATAGGCTACTTTTTCATTAATGACATTGATTTTTTTAACAAATCTTTAAATATTATAACACTTACCCTGACCCCACTGGATCGATATACTCTACAAGACCGGCCGTTGATCCTGTCCTGATCCAGTATTACAGGTTCGATCAAAGTCTCCAGTTCACAGTGACGATTCGATTCCACTCCCCAGCCACATTGTGATTTTTTTGATCCTAGAGAGCAAATAACAAATTGTAGATCCCAGAAGATTCTGCTGGTCTACCTGCAAGTTCATTGGGGCAAGAATTGAGTCAAACAGAAAAAAAATCAAATATAAACAAGTTGATTCGAGCCCAAAGAAAAATTTCTGTAGATGTATATAAGGAAGAAAATGGTACAAAAAGAATTATGTTTCCTTTACAAGAAAGTATTGTATAGGCAATAAAGTCCAAGAAAAAAAAAAATATTGCAAATAATTCTGAAAGGAGAGAAGTAGCTTTCAGGTTCACCCTTTTTGTTCTTAGTAGTGGCCGTAATTAATTCACTCAGCAAGCAGACACTTTCACTCTCACTGCCTGTCTCTCTCTCGTCAACTGCTACTTTGACTCAACTCTCTCAACTTACTTTTTCACACAAACACATGCTTAAATAAACATGGTAGAAGTGACAAAAACTGATTAATGACCTCCCCCCCCATCATGATTAAACAAGCAGTCTCTTCTTCCCAATTGGTATTCCATAGTTCATATAATCAGTATTGTTTTGACATGTTATATTAATAATTCTGACAAAGCACAGATTCTCTGAGCACAAACTTCACCCAGATTATTTTTCTCATTATAAGCAAAATTATATATTACTATAATTATTATTTCAAGGGTGACCATTGCCCTCTGCCACAATATCACTGGTGTTTTGGGGTTTTTTTTTTGTTATATATATAAATTCTTCTCATCTCTGCCAGTTTGAGGTTAATGCCATAAAAACTTGAATTTCTTTTTAGGATTATGCCACAGAAGGAATGTCTGAGGCTCAGTTACGACTGTTACAGCATCTACGAGAATTTGGTTTAGTCTATCAAAGAAAGGTAAGCTTTGTTAAATATCTTGTTTGGGATCTATTTATATTTCTGAGATGAGGTATTGTAAGTATTTACACTATTTACATTGTTCGGACTGTTGTCCTCATCTTTGTTGTTATATTCATGGCATTTCAACTTTTGTATTTTGGAATCATTCCCAACTAGGATTGGAACCAAAAGTCCAATTTCCTCTTCTTTTTTCTTTTTTTAAACATGTTGCCAAATGAACATACAGACAACTGCCAAACATGTCTAAAAATACCTACTAGACACACACAAAATAATACACAATATCATCCAAATCCTGCATAGACAAACTAGAATTATGATACACATACACACATGAATTATACACATAAATGCTGCTTGACAGGACAGATAAGCATGAAGTCTGATTAAACAGAAATAAACATATCAAAATTTTCTTCTCTTCATATTTCATTTGCTGATAAAGCTTAAATAAAAGCAAAACCTGTTACATTCATTATCCTTCGACACACACACACACATATAATTAAGTTATGAAGAACTTGGTAAACTGAATTGGTAAATCCAAGGAGGATGAAATCCTGAGAGCTCAATGTGAAGAACAGAGCTAATATTTAATGAAAAACAGACCACTTTAAGGTACCATTACAATAATTTATTTCACCAAAATCCTTTTTAAAGGATTTCGGATCATCAGGTAACACTTCCAACAATGAAATGAGAGGAAAAATGGGATTAGAAATTGATGGGTAGTGTAATTTTGTAATTAAACAGGAGGGTGACAGTAAGCTTAAAGAGACAATACAGAGTATAGGGAGGTTAAATTTTATATAATATATATATATATATATATATATATATATATATATATATATATATATACACACACACACACACACTTCATTGAATATGACAGACAAGGTACTTTTATTTAGTTTTTTATACAATTTCTCATGCAATCTAATAATTTTTTTCTTTTCAGATGATAAATTATATAAAAACTGTCCGAATGTTCTTTTTATCCGAGTGCTTTTGGTTACACCTTTTTAACCAATTATTAGAACACATGAGAAATTGTATAAAAAACTAAATAAAAGCACCTTGTCTGTCGTATTCAATGAAATATGCATGAAAGAAGGATTGCTGCCTAAATACACACACACACACATATATATATATATATATATATATATATATACACACACACATACAGGTAATAATCTGTTGGTATATAATCCAAGTGAATCCTATACAATATAAAATATTAAGTATTAAAACTGATTCACACAGAGAGCTCAATGTTTTAATCAAACAGAGCAACATATTTTTTATACAATAGGAATTAAGATTACATTAGGTTAATGATCATTTTCACCTTGTAAATTGAAGTAAAAATTACAAGGATTTTTCAAACTAGTCGATGGATGATAAATTATTGAAATAAAACTAGCCAAACAGAATAAAGAAAGAAGGTAAGAAAAATGGAAAAAAGTAAAAGAGGAAATAAAAACAAGGAAGTAGTGTAAGTCTGGATGTGAGGGGGGTGTTAAGGAGGAAAGGAAAGAGAAAATAGGAGGGAAGAAAAAAGAGAGAAGAAATGACCTATTATACACAGTAGCAGACAGGCATCAGTTCAGAAATCCCTGATAAATCTATTAACAAAAATATATTAAATAAAGAGATAAACCTATTTATATGAAAGAGAGTTAATTAAGAATTAAAGGTATATTAAAATAATATATCAGAAAAAATAATAAGAAAAATATATAAAAATTGAAATTAATATACTGAAATGATTATAATAATCTAAGAATGAGATATCTAATTTAAGATCTATACTTAAAATTATCTATATTTAAAATAATTCCCATCTACATCGAAAAAAAATTATTTATCATCTAATGAATATATATAATTTATTTGAAAATTATAACATAAATATGTTAGAAAATCACTACAAAAATAGCCATTTTGTTTCAACACTTCTGGTAGCACTCTTTTAAGAATAGTTTATATATATATATATATATATATATATATATATATATATATATATATATATATATATATATATATATTTCCTCTCTAGCTATTCTCTTTTTCTGACACACCCTTCTTTGTTGACCAATGTCAATACCCCATTCTAAGCATTTTTCCTCATCTTTTGCAATTGAATTTTTATAAAGACGGTCTTGTTCACTCCTAACAGATTGCTGCAGACTTTGAATGTCAGCTTGAGCTTCATTGAAGTTCATTCTAGGGCACTGAAGTCTCTTCTGTATTTGGTCGATAAAAGTCAGGATGCTGTCCCAGAACAGCAGCATAGTTCAAAAGCTGAAAGTTTGCATATTGTACAGCAAGCAGCTGGCATCACTTCTTGTATCAAATGATACTGAAGTGTCACTTGTCATAACCTCCAATAATTTAGCTTTGTCATCCAACTTCATTTTTACAGTGTGAATAGCATCACACTGAGCACTCCATCTTGTATCAGGGAGCCGCTTTACAGTCGTCTCTACTGTCTCCTTCAATTTTTCCCACTGCATTGTTGAGCTGAAGAAAAAAATTGTACAATAAATAAAGAACTCAAAAAAATGATATAGCAAGCACATTTTCTGAAGCTGCATGCACCCCTATTAGGTTCAAAGAATGGTTTGTCACAGTTCACAAAGATTGGGTTTCTCTGTGATATGTTTTCTGGACACCATACATCTACCCAGCCATTGTTGCAGCATTGTCATACATCTATCCATGACAGTCTTGATTTGAATGACTATCTTGTTCCAATTTTGAGGTAGTGTCAAACCTAATCCCTTAATCTCCAGGGTTAAATAGCAGGACAAACTGGGCTCTCTAGCCTTGGATAGCAGCCAGTCTAGGAGAAGGACAATTCTGAATTCCAAAAAATGGAAAAAGCAATAAGAAAACACTCCACTATCTTTCTTAAGAAGTTCTGACAATTCACAGATCTTAAAGAAAAGGAATCTGTGGAGGGCCATGAGTGCTTATGACCTAAAAGGACATGACATTAAAAAAATAAATTTATTGAAGTGCTGTTGAGCAACCGGATGTTAAAACAGGATCTTGCACAACAGTGTCAGCACTTCATCAAACAACAGAAAAATGTTCCCAGAGGAGAAATTAAAAAAAAAAAAAACTTAAATAATGCCTAATGGTTAAATCTGACAAGAAGGGAAATAAGCTACTGCCACTGCTTAGAGCATATTCATTAAGCTGAGGAGTAAGGGTCTAATTTGTTAGCCAAAGATAGAGAGTTCAATCCTAGGTAGGAGTCAGCATAATTAACAGTTACATTACCTCATCTCAGAAACATAAACAAATATGGAGAGATTTAAAATTTTTATTTGTTATTTTAATTTGATAAATTATTTAATTTAAATAATGGAAGGTTTTGATTTAATAATTTTCTTTTAATTTTCAAAGATTTTTTATGTTTATGTATGTCGGCTTTGGAAAGAAATACTCCTTCGTCAGTGGTACTGCATCTCGTGATTTCTGACAACTTTTCTTTCCTCGTCGATATCAATATATATTTTACCATCCTCGTCCTTGGCTAATCTTCACCTTTTTTTTCTCATGAAGTATTTGCATATGCATGCATCTTTAGTTGCAAAACAATGCTCTTCATGGTAAGCATGATTTGCATATTAAGAATAGCAAGAGTATTTGCTTGCATGCATGTAACTTCCTAGAATATAGTGTCCCACCAATACAAGTTTATGTAGACTCACATTTTTAGCTCCCTGTGGCAAGGTAAGTTAGTGTGCATTTTATTATCATCATGAAACTGGACGCAAATTCTTGTAAACACCTCTTAATTGCTTCCTCTTGTAAACACCTCTTAATTGCTTCCTCTTGTAAACACCTCTTAATTGCTTCCTCTTGTAAACACCTCTTAATTGCTTCCTCTTGTAAACACCTCTTAATTGCTTCCTCTTGTAAACACCTCTTAATTGCTTCCTCTTGTAAACACCTCTTAAATGCTGTTGTTTGCAGGACCATCCTGACCTAGACTGGTAAGGTCCCAGCTAAGGTCAAATAGTGAACACCCAAACAAAACACTATTAAAGTATAAAATACTAACAATACGTTTTTATATAAAGAAATTACCAACAATACATATTTATAGTAAAATGGCTAACAAAGCATATTCATAGTAAAATAACCAACAATACATTTTATCTGTAGTTGAAGGCATAAAATTGTGTTCAAATATTTAAACCCATAGAGATTGATATGCCAATAAACAAAATCAACCAAATAAGCAACACATGGCACGTTACGTGTAATTATAATAAACTACCCTTGTAGACTAAATAAAGGGTTCAGTTTGAAATTCCAACATATATCACCTGAAGAAGGTTGGAGAGTACAATGGTTGAAGCATTGTAAATATGATAATAAAGATAAGGACAACAGTCAGAACAATGTTAATAGCTAAAATACCTCGTCACAAAAATACAGGGTGTCCATAAAGTTCGTGTGCATTTTAAAAAATTTATAACTTTATTTGTATTTGTGATAAAAATAATCTGTAAAAAATGTTATAAAGTTTAATGAACCTAGTTTTAAGTATAACTAAAATAACTAATGTGATTTCAGGCATTACTATAAATCAGTTGGCAAATGTTTTCCGTGAACTGCAAAATCGTATTACCCTTTGTATTGCTAATGATGGAGGACATGTGGAAACTTAAATAAAATTTCAATAAAACCTTAAAAAATATAGATTTACTTCTTTCTAATCCTTTTTACAAATTATTTCTATCGCAAATACAAATAAAGTTATAAATTTTTTAAAGTGCACACGAACTTTATGGACACCCTGTATAGACAAAACTAATTTTACTTTAATAAATGAACCGGTTTTTGGTTAAAGAACTTAAACGATTAACAAACAACATTTATTTGTTATGATTTCTACCTATCATCAACTAAATTAAAAATACAAGGATAGTCCTGGGTATGACGATAAACTACATCCGGCAGCAAGGCCTCTTATTGAGAAATTGGAGGTTTTGAGGAACAGTGAACCACCTCTTAATTGCTGAGGTTTACTCTGACCCTGGGTGGTAACATCTGTCCCAGTTATGGGCATATACTAAACTCCCAAATAAAATACTATGAAAGTATAAAAATACATTTTTATAGTCAGAATACCAGCAATACATTTTTATATAAAAAAAATTAGAAACATTTATAGTAAAATGATCAATAATACATTTTATCTGTATTTGAAGCCATAAAACTACATTCAAAATATATAGATTTCAGCATTAAATAAGCCATTGAGGTTGATATTGCTGCTAACCAAATAAACAAAATGAAAGAACTCTTTCATGACATTCATCCACATAATATCTGACAATTTCTTAAAGAAATCAGACTTTATTCCAAAGTATAACTTCAACAAAACTACAACATGAAACACACATATCACTGCCTCTAGTAATTATGTCCACACAAGCATGTATATGCACAAAAGCTGAGTTTCATTTACCATGTATTCAATTGTGAAAGCACAATAACATATATTTTTATTACTTCCAAGCTCCCAAGAAAATTAGGTTTCAGCATTAAATGACCCATAAGGAATTGATATGCCGTTTAACAGACAAACCAATGAATCATACATATCACCACCTCTAGTAATTATGTCCACACAAACATGTATATGCACAAAAGCTGAGTATCATTTACCATATATTCAATTGTGAAATCAGAATAATGTATATCATATTTTTCTTACTTCAAAGCTCCCAAGGAAATTAAATTTTAGCATTAAATGACCCATAAGGTGTTGATATGCTATTAAACAAACAAAACAATGTTCCTTTTGTGGTTATCCATGCTTTTCCATTTGTTATTATGTGTTTTTGCTTGTTGCTTCCAGAGAAAGTCGCAGAGATATTATCCTACAAGGTTGGCAATTAATTTGGCTTCAGGATTATCACAGTTTAGCACAATGGCAGCAGCAGCACAAAAAGGATTTATTGTTGTGGAAACAAATTATAGATTATATGCATATACTAGTAAGTAATTTTTGTTTGTTGAAGCATAAAAATTTTTGCATGAAAACCATTACCAAACAAAAATAAAATAATTGAGCTAAAAAAACTTATTGTATTTCATGACATGAGACCTCAGCCATTTCATCCCCAACTGAAATTTTGAATTTTGATTGATTCATTTTTTACAGCTTATCAACCCTTTACAGCTTATTTAAAGTCAGAAAATATCTTTAGATTGTATGAATTTTTTATTTTTTTGAGGTAATAATCATTTCATGATACAAGTCTGGTGGGGAGTAGAGGTAAATTCATACCTAATTAGACTGCGATAAACAAACAAGAATTTATAGTGTATATATAAATATATAAAGAGGGTTAGGGGTCAATTCTATGTTACGAACAATATAAAATCTGATTGCTCACAAATGATATTTTTAAATTGTAAGGGTGGGAGATAATGGTTTATTGATACAAGTCTTACTAATTAACCCATAGTTTGGTGGGAAAAGTGGTGAATTCATATGTTTCCTAAGGGTATTTACATGTAAATGAATATAACGAACCCAACAAGAATTGGAACACAACCACTTACACCACCTGCACATCCAAGCTCATGACATCTGATATTTCCAAGTGGTCACCTAAATGGTTACTGTATTTGAAAGACTGTGTAAAACCTCTCCTCTTTTCCTCACAAAAATTATTGAGTATTCACAGTCAGTTACCTGAAGAAAAGAAAAATTAAGAGATGGTATATCAAATCCCACCCCACACACACACACACACACACTGCCATTTCCCCTGAAATTACTGTCTACAGTGGTATATCAGACCATGTCTCCCACCCCAACACTATTTCCCTAATTACTACGGTGGTATATAAGGTTATGTCTCCTGCCCTAACACCATTTCCCCTAAAATCAATTACTGTCTATGGTGGTATATCAGACCATGTCTCACACCATTTTCCCTCCAAAATTGGAGGAAACGCTCACCCAGTACTTTTCTGCATGTGTGTGCATTGAGGATTTTAGGTCTAGGCATGATGAATCATTACAAGAATTACACAAATTCACCATTACTAATCAGTAAGATATATATGTCTATGTGTATATATATATATATATATATATATATATATATATATATATATATATATATATATATATATATATATATATATATATATATATATATATATATATATATATATATATATATATATAAGAAATGGATAAATATATATATATATTTAAGAAATTAAAGACAATTTATTAAAGACATTTTTATGTTTAACATTCTTTTATAGATACAAGTATTTAAGTAAATGCTCTGTTTATAATGTTATTAACACTGTTTATTATAAACAGAGCATTTACTTAAATACTTGTATCTATAAAAAAGAATGTTAAATATAAAATATATATATATATATATATATATATATATATAAAAAACCAAAAAACTTAATAAAAAAACAAATACATCAGATTCATTATTTACTACAAAAAATTAAAAACTAGCAACCTAATTATTAAAAATATAACAGAGGTACATACTTCTGAGAGAAAGAAAGAAAAAAAATCAAATGACCATTTTAACAAGAATTAAAAACACTAGATACCTCTGAAAGATCTTTCAAAACAGTCCTGGGTTTGACTTTCCAGTTAATTCTGAGAATGTACGTTCAGCCAACATTTGGAGAGTGAACCATCGGCCCACAGAACTCTTTCTTGGGATGAAATGATTAAAAAAAATATCCTAAACTTCCAACCCCCTATACAATATCAATGTTGTATGAGTACACTTACCCACTTAAAGAATGTTTCTCTGTAAATAAAAAAATAACATAAAACATCTTTCATAGGATACACACTCTCACAAAGATTTATTTGTCACCTATTGGACCAGAATACCATCAGACAGCACGTTAATAAGCAGAATAAGGATCATAGTAACATTACAAACAATACCAAAATGTATCTGTCTATATTTCTAAGATGAGGTATTATGTACACTATTTACATTATTCGGACTATTGTTCTCATCCTTGTTGCCATATTTATCATAACGTTTCAGCCGATGTACGCTCTGGCCTTCTTCAGGTGGTTGGAATGTCGAACTGAACCCTTAATTTCGCTCATTGGGGTAGACTGTTCTAGTTCCACATGCCATGTCTAATTGATGTCAGTTATCAGTTATCTCCTGTTAATTCCCCTCTCCAAGTTCTCCACTGCCTTAACCAGGTATTGAACTCACAATTCTTTGGGTCCTGTCATTGGATCTAACCAACGCTTTTATCCACTGTACCGTGTGTCCTTGAGGACACATTTCAGTTCAGTTCAACATTCCAACCACCTGAAGAAGGCAGGAGTGTCCATCAACCGAAACGTTGTGATAAATATGGCAATAAGGATGAGGACAATAGTCTGAATAATGTAAATAGAATACCAAAATGCTAGCAAAATCAAATAGTAAAAATAGACTTAGTATCCTTGAGGTAATACTCTTACAACAAAACCAACCATTTATAAATAAAAACAATTATAATTTAAATAATAATATAATTGTCCTCAAATGTATATAAAACAAATATAAATAAATAAAATAAACACACACTTGTCTACATTACGACACACTTTGCCCGCATCTCACTAGTTCTGTGAAACTCAAAAATTTGTCTTTATGAACCCTTATGATATTTAAGAAAGTTGAAAGCTTGGACCATATTTCTTTCAAAATAAACTTTGCACAATTTCTGATGGAATTTCCTCCTTATCTGAGAAGGATTATTCATAATTTGGAAAAGTCAATCAATAAAATTTGTCAACACAAAATGTCCATTGTCTTTGATAGCATTTGCTTTAAAAAACATTTGCAGTCTAAATACACACACACCTACCTACCTCTCTCTCTCTCTCTCTCTATATATATATATATATATATATATATATATATATATATATATATAGTTTATGCAAAACTAGGTAATCCGTATGGGTAGACCCAAGGAGGATGATATCCGGAGAGCTCAATGTAAATTCAGAGCAAATATGTTTGAATAAAAAACAGACCCCTTTAAGGTTCCATGTAATAGATTATTTCCCCACCACCCTTTTAAAGGGCTCTGGATCATCAGACTTTACTTCCAAAGGTTAAAATGAAAAGAAATTTACACATTTTTGACGGGCCGTATTAAGCATATGTAAAATTAACGAAGTGAGGAAGTGAGAGAGAAGACATGAGTGAGTTAGATGTACCATTTCAATTCTTTATCCCTAGCCCCACTTGGTGTGGGCCAGACAAACGCTTAACTTATGTTATCTTTAGATATGGATGGGTAAGGGGTGAAGAAGAAAACCGACATAAAAGGAAGAAGCTACAATAAAATAAAGAAAAGGTTTCACTCAATTTCTTGGACATTGTTATTTCGCATTACTTTAAAGGGTATATTTGGGGGTTAAAGTTTGATATAAATCTAAATGTCTACAAAATCTATGAAGAATTTAATTTGATGTTTGTTGGAGTTTTGGGTATTTTCTATGAAATAGTCGATTGGAAAAAATTCATAGAAAGTACATTGAAAGAATAATTCATTTTACATCTAATAATCTTTTTTATTTTCCTAAACTTTTTTCTTGTTGATTATTAAGTTGACATCTATTCGTTTGAGTTTTGTTCATAAATTAAACTCGTGACTGTTTTTAGATACCTACATTATTATCAAAGGTTATTCCAATTTAAATAATTTTATCATCAATAATGATTATTAAAGGGTAAAGGGTAATGCGAAATAACAGCGTCTAAGAATTTGAGTGAAACCTTCTCTCAAGTGAGTCTAAATAATACGGAGGTAAATTTTAAATTGACAATTTAATTCAAACTGAAATATATTACCCTTTATGGGTTAAAGTGCTCAATAACAGGCATAGAGCATATGTAAATATAAAAGTGGACATTGAAGTCAACACCCAGAGGTGACAGTCTGTTTCATGATAAACATAATTGTCAGACTATGTGCGTTGTGTTTTTGCTTGACTTTTTATATATACAAGTCAGTGATGCATTGTGGGTAGTCTGTTGTATTATTCTAATGATTATTTTGGTGAGTGTGGTTTGTTAATTTGTTTATTATTACTTATTTATTTGTTTAGATTAATTTATTTTACTTGTTTTTGTTCATTTATTTTCATTTATTCTTGTTAATTTTCAGTTTTTGATTTTTAAGTAATGTAGTAAAAATTTGTTTTTATGTCTGCATTTTGAGATGAGTTCTGATCATTTATTTAGTAATTTGTTTTGATCTGGGAAGGTAATTATGGCTATTTTTCCTCCAAGCAGAGTTTATAGTTTTTGCATTTATTGTTGTAGGCTGATGTTCTTTTCCTTATTTTCGGTGTGATTTTATTTTAATCTCCCAGATATATATATATAAAAGTTTATTAGCATAGTTGCAGTATAAACCACAGGTTGGCTCTGTGGGTGTTGAACAAACACAAATATGCCTGAGCAAGCATCTGCAACAGAGATTGGTTAGTCACACTAGAAGATGGGTATGCTCAGTGATGAGTTAGAAGCCATTGTCAAAATGCAAGATAAATAAGATGAACAGAATTAATAAAGTTTGCAATGAAAAGAAAAAAGGTCAAAAAAGATGAAATAGCAACAATCATACAAGCAAGCAATATAGTTAAAGCAAATCAAAAAGAATTCATAAACTATGAGTTGGTGTTTGTACACAAAAGCAAGGTCGGACAAGTGAATGCAGTAAATCTGTTTAGTAGTTAAGGCAGATCTGGACTGAGTCATGTCAAAATGCAAGCCGTCCCATTTTATTGGCTATGAAAAAATATCCCAGCATACATTTTGTATTGTTGCAGAGATGGTTGTGAAGGCCCAGCCTACTCTTAAAGTTTTGCATGAGCAGGAGTCTCACAGGAGTTTGGGTGGTGGATGTGGTTGGGTGAGTTGTTCTCTCCTGATGGTATGTCACAGATCCTCTTCATATTGATGGTTAGACTCAAAAGGCTCCCCCTACACCATGAAGGCAGCAATGGTTTCTAAGCTCTCAGGATTGATGTTGGCTTGTGTCAGGGATGTTTTCAACTGATCCTTGAAGTGTCTACAGGGGTAGATCATGTTCCATTGTCCATGTCTCAGAACATCTTGTTCTTACTTTAATACTGTTCAGTTACTACTCCCACAAAGATCTTTTGGTTATCTGTTTCAGGAATTGAAGTCACAATTCCAATATCACCAAATTCATGAACCAGTTGTGAGTTCAATATCTGTGCTGGTTAGAACAGACTTAGACTCATTGGAAACAGGTTTTGGTTTGTTTTATGGCATATCAACCTCAATGGGTTATTTAATGCCGACAGTCTTTTATTGCTGGTAATATGTTTTTCTTCAAAAATCTATTTCTGGGAATATTTTTCCTTGAAGATATCTATAGCTGCTCATATTTTTTCCAAAGAATGTATAGCTGTTTGTATTGCTAGTAGTTTTTTTAAAGTATTGCTGATAATTTTTCCTTTAAAAATTATTGCTGGTAATAATTTTTTTTTTTTTTTTGTTACAAAGTATTTCTGGTATTAAAACCTATTTTTACACAAGTTTGGGTGTTAACTATTTGCCCATAGCTGGGACCCTAACAGGTGCTACCACCCTGGGTCAGAGTGGACCTGGGAACACCAGCAATTAAGAGGTGGTTCCATGCTTCTCAAAACCTCCTGATCAGAGGCCCTGCTGTTGGACATAGTTTATTGTCTTACCCAGGACGGCATTGGAAAGAGGACAAACAATAATTAAGCAGTACTCAAAAAAAATAAAGAATAAGACAAGATCTTCCTAGACATGGATAGTGGAAGAACAGCAGTCTACCCACTAAGATTAAATAAAAGATACAGTTCAAAATTCCTTGAAGGAGACTTAGATCAACAGACACCTGAAGAAGGCTGGAGGGTATAACAACCGAAATGTCATGATAATAATATTAGTCTGAATGTAAATAAGCTTTTATATTTATGTACTAAATATTTATTTTTCAACATAATCTCCTTCTTTGTCAATGCACTTAATTTAGTGAATTTTGTGCACCAACTCCACAGTCTTGGGCATGACATCAAAATAAAATAAGATGTGTGGGTGGAGTATTGGATAGTGGCTCGGAATAAGAAATTGGAGAGCCAAGTTCAAATTCCTGTCTGGTTTGTTACATTAACTTATGCACAAATACCCTTGAGAAAGATATGAAACCATCACTTCTACCCCTCCAGGCATAGGTTAAATAGAAAAAAATATCTGGTAAAATTGTTATTTCCCAAAAAACTGTTGCCTTACAGACACATCATATTGAAAAACCAGTTCCTGTATGGTCACTGAAGTTAAGCAACATTGAGTCTGGTCAATGGATGGGTGACTGCCTGGGAATACTGGGTGTTGTAAGCTTGAATATGCTGGTGGTACGATGGATAAAGGCTCCGAATTATTAATCGGAGAGTTGAGTTCCAATTCCTGTTGGGTTTGTTATATACACTTACGCACAAATACTCTTTGGAAAAGTACGAATCCAACTATGGGTTAATTAGTAAGACTTGTATCACCAAACCATAATTATCTCTCCCCGCAAATCCTTACAATCTAAAATTATTTTCTGGCTTTAAATAACCTGAAACGGGTTGATAAGCCGTAGAAAATGAATCAATCAAGCCAAAGATTGTTTCAGCTTTAAATAACACACAAAAGGTTGATAAGCCATAAAAATAAATCCATCCATCAATCAATCAATCAAGATGAAACCATATTCTTTTTATTGTTTCTCTTTCTTTTCAGATTCTCAACTTCAAATTGCCCTGATTGCCTTATTTTGTGAAATGCTTTATCGGTAAGCAGTTTGTATATTTATTTCTATTTAGAACATAGATTGCTATTACGGATATTATATACGTTAAAAATTGAGCCTAATGACAAAGCTAAGTATCTTGGATTACTTCTGTCTTAGAAAATAAAGGGTGTTTCAATAAGACGGATCAAAGTCAGCAGTAAATAAATCAGTGTTATTGGTGAAAATTTATTTATTTCTCTATTGGATCATGTTATTTAAGTCATGGCAATTATGTGTGAAAAATAATATTGCCCAAATGTCCACCAAATCTGAAAAAAAAAAAAAATATCATTAGACGCTTAAATTTAATTCACATTTAAAATCGGTTCAAGTTATTGTAACATCCTTTATCTCCAGAATCAGTTGCATGGTTTTGATCCGAGGAGACTTTACTCTGTGCACATGAACAGACATTCTCCTTTTATTAGTCAGTTGGCAATGAGATGATGTTTAATGAGTTTGTTTACTCAGTGACATCATATTTCCTCTGAATATAAATGACATTTTGCTTGAAACCAGATTATAGCTGGAAAGCAAGAAGCCAAAAGAGTGTTCCACAAGTGAGAAGTGCAAGAGAAGAAACTCTTAGCATAGAACTTATGCTTATAAAAAACACAAAAAGAAATTAGAAACATTCTTTTAATGAAAATATTTTTACAAATCACAAATTTTGTAGGGTTATAAATAATTGTTGCATTCTCTTTTTGTGCATGTGTGTAAAAGCTTTTTAACATGTTTTAGATTTGGCTTTTTCAGGTTGGAATGAAAGACTAAAGTGTACAAGTAAACACATTGGGATTTTTCTATTCTACATCCTACTAACCTGTATAAATTCAGTTATGTGCTCTTGGAAGATAAGTGCAAATTTGTAAACAATTACTATTGGTACAAACATTACAAGGCTCTTCCTCCTTCCTGAATTGAGCTCTCTCAGTCATTGGCATGTTTATTCACAGAATGAGTACATAAAAATTCACCTTTCTTTCAACCATGCACCAATGGCTTAGGGGGAAATCAGTCAGGTGAATCAGGTGAATTGCTTGAAGCAATCTGGTGATCACACACACACACACACATATATGCGTGTGTGTTTCATTGAATATGACAGACACAGTGCTTTGATTTAGTTTTTTTTTTTATACAAGTTCTCATGTTCTTATAATTTTTTTTTCTTTTCGGATGATAAATTATATAAAAACTGTCCAACTGTTCTTTCTCTCTAAGTACTTTTGACTATACACTTAGTCATTTTCAATGTTGAAATATATTAACTGTTAACATGTTTGACAAGAAGACTCGTACTACATCTCTCTGACCATAGCTCAATTAGGTCTCATTTAAATACTCATGGAGACTTACTGAACCTTATTTGTAACATACTTGTTGATAATACAAATATAATAGCATTGTCTGCATGTAAAAAAAGGCTAAAAATAATGTAAGCCTTATTAATAAAAACAAACTCAATATCAACTATGAACATGGACACAATGTCTTGACCATGTTTTGAAAACGAAAACATGTAAATACATACTTACAACGAACTATTTCTTATTTTAACAGTTAAAATATTTCCTCCTTGAAAATGGCTAAATGTATAGCCGAAAGCGCTTGGATTAAAAGAACATTCAGACAGATTTTATATCTGAAAATAAAAAAATTATTAGATCGCATGAGAAATTGTATAAAAACTAAATCAAAGCACCTTGTCTGTCATATTCAATGAAATGTGCATGAAAGAAGGATTGCTCCCTAAATACACAAAAATGATATATATGCTTTAAAAAACTTGACTTTTTTTTTCTCTTTCTCTGAAGATTTCCAAATATGGTTGTTGGCAACATCACTCGAGATAGCATTCATTCAGCTTTAAGCTGTGGAATTACAGGTGATCAAGTAAGTACGCATTGTCCGGAGTTTGTATATTTGAAAAAAAGCTACGTAAAATAGTTGCAAGTAATGCTTTTCCTTTACTCAAATAAGACTGCAATGATCACGGAACACAATGGACCAATGTCTTATTTTTCATTTCTGAGAGCAATGTCAAGCCCAGTCAGTACTTTGATTAACACTGCATGCTGTAAGCAACTTTCTACAATCTGAAATCTGTTTAAACTTTTAATGACCCACAAAAAAGTTTAAACAAAAATTATTTTCAGTTTCTGCAATCAGTGACACAAAATCAGGGACCTCTGACCCTGTTTTTTTTTCAATACTGATGTGATTTTTTTTTTTTTTTTTTACAGCTGCTGCTTGTGTTTCACATCAGTTAAAAAAATACAAGCAGCAACCCTAGTCATCTGATTCCACATCAGTATTGGACTAAAAAGCAAGGGTCAGAGGTCAGCCTCCATCTTTGTGTCACTGATTGCAGAAACTGGATAATTTTTGTCTTTGCCTGAATATATAGTCATTAAACAAACATCATATTCATATTTACCCCCAGGGTTGGTATATAAATACCTCTAGCCCTTGTCGTCATACTTTTCTTGCCATTATCTTTTAGTTATCAGGGCTTAGTATACACTGCCTGCATCTCTTGATTTGCAGGGAAGTAAAATCCCACCCAAACATCGTCCTGGGTATGATGATAAACTACATCCGCATCCTGGGTAAAACAATAAACTACGTCCAACAGCAAGGCCTCTGATCAGGAGGTTTTCAGGAGCGTGGGACCACCTCTTAATTGCTGGTGTTCCCAGGTCCATCCTGACCCGAGGTGGTAGCACCTGTTAGGGTCCCAGCTATGGGCAAATAGTTAACACCTAAACTTGTGTAAAAATAGGTTTTAATACCAGAAATATTTTGTAATAAAAAAAATTATTACTAGCAATAATTTTTGAAGGAAAAATTATTATCAGCAATACCATTTTTTAAAAAAAAAAAAAAAAAACCAGCAATACACATAGTTATACATTCTTTGATAGATTTCTTCAAGGAAAAATATTCCCAGAAATAGATTTTTGAAGAAAAACATATTACCAGCAATAAAAATTTTGTCAGAATTAAATAACCCATCCAAACAGAGCCACTAAGTCGGTATTTGCATATTCAGATATAAACCATATAAATGCTTAAGTTTTTGATTTTAGTACAAACTGGACCTATGTCTACTTTTTTGGCCCTATTGTTAAAATGGACATATGTCTACTTTTTTTTTGTTATTGTTAAAATGGACATATGTCTACTTTTTTTTGGACATATGTCTACCTATTGTTAAAATGGACATATGTCTACTATTGTTAAAAATGGACATATGTCTTTTTTTTTGGACATATGTGTCTATGTCTTTTTTTATTGTTAAAATGGACATATGTCTACTTTTTTGGCCCTATTGTTAAAATGGACATATGTCTACTTTTTTGGCCCTATTGTTAAAATGGACATATGTCTACTTTTTTGGCCCTATTGTTAAAATGGACATAATTGTTAAAATGGACTTATTTTTTTGTTGTTAAAAATGGACATATGTCTACTTTTTTGGCCCTAGACCACTTTTTTTTTGTCTATGTCCTTTTTTGGTCCCAATGTTTTTACCCTAAACTGGACATTGTGTCTGTCCACCTTTTTAGCCCCTAGCCCTATTTAAACCAGACCTATGTCTACCTTTTTGGCTCTAATGTTAAGGTGGACCTTTTTTGGCTCCAACATAAACTGGACATATGTTTATCTATTTGGCCCTAATATTAAAACAGACCTATGTCTACCTTTTTGGTCCTAATTTAAACCATACTTCTGTTTAACTGTTGGCTCTAATTTAAACCAGGCAAATGTGCACCATTTTGGCTCTAATGTTAAAATGGACATGTGTCTGCCTTTTTGGCCCTAATGTAAACTGGACCTAATAAGAGAAATAAGATGAAAGAAAGATGAAGCAAGAATTAATAATAATGACAAGGCTTTATCTAAATTGTCTCTGAAAAATTTGCATCCAGGTGAGATAAACTTTTTAAAAAATAGAATTTTTATTTGTTGTCATACCTTTTTCTGATTAAGTGACTTATTTACTTTGTACATTTCTTTTTCAGATTATAAGTTATTTAAAAACTCATGCACATGAACAAATCTCCCTCAAGGTTAGTGTTTTTGTGTGATTTCTTTTCTGTATTTAATTAATTCTTCCTTTCTTCATTTTCATTATTGTTATCATTAATTAATTAATCAAGTTTTATTTCTGTATGATTTAATTTTGGATAATTCTCAATATTTTGGAAAATTCTCAACATGACTGTCTTCCCAGAATCTGAACAAATGATGAAACACAAGTTTTTGTTTTTTTTTCCTTTTTTTGTATTTTTCCAAGGTGTTTTTGTCAGGCTGAGAACTTTTGAGTACCCTCTCATAATTTCTAAATTATCTTTATTTTTTTTTTTTTTAATTTATAAATTTTATCTTTTTTTTTTTTTTTTTTTTTTAAATCAATTCACCCCAAGCAAGGCCAGAATGCCACTAAGATACAAGGGGTTACTGGGAGTGAAAAAAAATGAGGAGACTTTAGAAGGAACTGGAAACCTAATCCTAAAAAGGGATAAAACTCTACTCCTGTTCAAAAGACTGGGGAGGAGTGTGAACTGGAGTGTTCATTTTTTCCAAGCTGGTAACCCATTCTTACCTTCCTAAGTACCATAGAAACAATGTGCTACAAAGTCTCCAATCAACCCTCCCCAGGTTTTAGATTCAAAATTGTCCTTCTCCTAGGCTGATTGTCAACCAAGGCTAAAGATCCCAGTCTGCCCTACTATTTAACCTATAGCAGAAAAGATGGACTCATACCTTTCCCAAGGAGGATATTTGTGAAAAAGTAAATGCAATGAACATAACTGAAATTTGAACTTGCTTCATTGATTTCTCGTTCTGAGCTTCTATCTATTACACCACCCACACATCCACCCTGAAGTGAGGTACATGATTTAAATAACGATTGCTGATTACTTTGTTTTTCTCTGTTTTCCTATGACAAAATTTCATTAATTTCACTATTTTTCCCTCACTTTGACAGAATCCAGTTCTTCCACCGACTGTCACAGATCAAATCCATCTCTGGGAAATGGAACGGGATAGATTCAGATTTACCGACGGCGTCCTCTACAATCAATTCCTATCCCAGAGTGACTTTGAACTACTCAGGGATTATGCTAAGGTACGTATATCACACTCTTCTTAATTTAGGAGCTGAGGGAGAATTTACTTGTTTGTTTAGCGGCATATCAACTCTTTATGGGTCATTTAATACTGAAATTTAATTTCCTTCAAAGCGTTATTAATTTCATTTACAAAAATGTATTGTTGGAATTTTTTTTTTTTACTATAAAAATGTATTGCTGGTATTTTTATTATAAAAATGTATTTTTATATCTTCATAGTGTTTTGAACTGGAAACCTAATCCAAAACAAGGGATAAAATTACTCCTGTTCAAAAGACTGGGGAGGAGTGTGAACTGGACAATAGGTGAACCTATCTACTCCTATTAAGGATAAAAAATAAATAGTAAATAACATTTCAGAGTTTAAGTAGAGATGTTAGAAGTATATCAATTGATTCTATTAATTTATTATTAAAATTATTTTTTTAGTTTAATTTTATTTCTTTTTAATTATTAATTTTTATTTATTTTTAATTACCTTATTTACTTCTGCTTATAATTTATTGGGGTTTGGTGGGGTTAACTATTTGCCCATATTTGGGACCCTCACAGGTGCTACCACCCTGGCTTGGGGTGGACCTGAGAACAGCAGCAATTAAGAGGTGTTTCCAGGCTTCTCAAAAACTTGTGATCCAGAGACCTTCCTGCCGGATGTAGGTTATCATCATACCCAGGACAGGGCTTAAGGAAAGATGCCTCACTAAGAGCAAATGGCTGACAAACTAAACTATAAGATTGTTATTACCATGCAGATGATTTTGACTCTTTCTTGGTGTCATTATCTCATATATATATTTTACCAATTTGTGGCTGATAGGGATAATTCCAAGGAGGATATTAATCCAGGGAGAGCTCAATGTGGGTCTACAGAGCATTATAATAATAATCAAGAAGAAAACCTTGAAGATTCATTTTGGTTATAATTTATTTTGTGAATATCTATATATAGTGAAAAAGATAATCACTTACCTTGAAAAAGAGTTCATGTTTTGTGTGCAATCTGCCAAGGAAAAAATGACCGAAAGTAGTTAGCAAAAATCTGCTACTTTAAGTATCAGTATCTATGCCAATGTTCCCTTCTCCTCTGAATGGTGTGGCCAATCAGAAAAATCACTAAGTAAATAAAAGCCATTGTTTTTCGCTCGCGAGGGGAAGATTTTTTTCTGAGCTTGGTGAATGAACATGCGTTTTTGCTGGTGAGAAGTGAAGGTTAGATTTGTGACCCCATTTTGTCATTTCTACATTGCCTGTTGGACTGTTACGATGGACAATTATTTGAATTGTGATTTGGCTACAAGTGTTGCGGACAGAAGAAACCTGTTGCAGGCGTTTATTGCTACTATAAGTTTACAGTTTTTTGTTTCTTTTCTTTACTAAAACACTATATATTCATCACTTTAGACCGAAAACTCTTAGTAAATAGAGACAATAGCC